TGGATGGATGGATGGATGGATGGATGGATGGATGGATGGATGGATGGATGGATGGATGGATGGATGAATGGATGGATGAACAACTGTTATATGTAATAGAATTATGTAGTTGCAATTGAGGATGTTTAGCGCTTGTAGTTTGGTGTAAATTCATGTGACTTGGTCTCTTTTTAATTTTATTGATTTGTAGCTGCAAAGATGGCCGAGTGAAAACGTCTACGAGAAAACCAGGAACATTTGCCACAAGTACTTCAAACCCTGGCACAAGTACAAAGGAACCTACCGGACCTGCTGATGTGAGCACTGTAGCCTTGACAACACCTGGTATACAAGAGACTTTAGATGCGAACCCGCAGACAACTTTATGCCCTACAGAGGGGCTTTTTCGTTGTTATGGTATGCATAGATACGGTTAATTCATTATGGAAAGAAACTTCCTCACATAGTCGTAATCAGTTGATTTGTAATCATAGCATGCAATTATTAATAAATACTCGATCGATTGCAACTTTGTTTCTTTTATTAATAAGTAAATGTAACGTTAAAGATCTTTGGTTATGCGTCGTATTAATTATATAAATAAAAATCAAACACTTCCCTTGAAGATAAAGAAAACACGGGATGTGTGTGCACTCAACCCTGATATCAGTGAAGTGCCAATTCTCGAATCTGCCGGAATCACTTGCCGAAGGCTCAGCACTAGGCAATCCACACAAACCAGCGCCGCCTACAAACAACACCCACTGAAGCTAACTCTCGTCGCTGCTGCCAAAACCAGCATGACGTAAGTGTCCCTTGCCCAGACACTTTGCCTCACCATTGAAAAGTCTCTACAGCAGGCATTACAGGCCAATGACTCGACGACTCCGTTAACTATTGTTGGCGAAGTGTGTTTCTCTCTTTCACGCTCCAATAAGAAAAGTGCCCTCGATACTCTCGTTTTAGTGAACTTGGATGTCGCAATCCCAGTCGGCAATCCCTTTTTCATCACTAACAACACCTCGGTGCGCTTCGCAACTCAGCAAGTAACCGATACAAAGCTAAAGCTCCAAAGCTAGGAACCGACTCAAATGTTGGTACGGAACCACTGTATTATATGTCCTCGCCAAAATATCCTTTGCCCAGCAACAAAACGTGGTACCAACCTCAGCTCACATTGTAGATACGTACAGTGGGGAGAAAGGTGCGCATGCCCAAAGACTGTATGAACCATGCACCGTTCGGCGTCACGATCATAACTGCTGGGCCCGTTTTACCAGCCAAGTGATTCCTCCAGTAAAACTTACACCTCCTTCCCGTTAAGTCACAATACTAAAGCATTACAAAAGACTCTCGCCAAACAAAACCGTCAACTACCCACAATCTACGACAATCCTAGGTTGGGAGTGGAACTAACGCAAACTATCTGCAAGTCCCCACCGTGGCGTCGGCGTACTCCTCTCTTGTCCTCGACCCACGCCATTAAAAGTATGCGCTCTTTCATTGGGCCTTACAAAGTCCTTAGACGTGTCTTTCCGGACTGCTCCATGCTAATCGACACTCTTGATGCTGCGATCTCTAGCCTTCAGTCACAATACAAACTCAACCTGCACAACGGTCTCCTTCACAAGTTTAAACCTGCACAACAGGGCCTCACATCTAACAACACTATTGTTCTACCACGCCTATCAGACACCTTATGAATCGTAACCAAAGAAGGCCTTCAATCAACATTACATGTTTTCCATGACAACCATCTCCACCTGGCAAGCTTTTTTACAGCCAAACTCCGCAAACACCAATTACTTGGCAACAATGCAGAATTGAAGCGTCTGATTGTGCTAGTCGCAATGCTCCCGAGTGTCAAGTACAAACTTGCCAGGGGTTTTCTTTCATCTTATAATCATTCTTCGTCTAGTCTTTTCGCCCTTCTGTCGATATACTTTTGTGTTTTATTCTGCAAACAAACAAGAACTTATACAAGTAATATCAATTAAAAGTAATACCACAATGAATGCCCCATAGAGTATTTGTATCTCAAGGTTATAATTCTGCAATAACCCGGGTAAAGCCAATATATTAACCAAAGGTTGACGACGGGGGTCATATAATCAGTACCAAGTGCATGCATTTAGGAAGAGTGATTCGATTATTGAAAGCAATTGGTATCTCCGCACCTTGGAGAGCAAGAGATATGAAGGCAACACTTCTACTCCTGATCTTCGCGGGCTTTTCTTTTCAATTGCTCATTTCGGCTCCCATAAATCAAGGTAAATGACAAAGTTTATTTTCAACATCTTGAAAAAAAACTTTTTTGGTTTCTTGGAATTCGAAATAAATAGTTAAATCATTTTGATTCTTCACTGAATTAAAGAGTTCGTCAATTCGTTCAATCGTAGGATCATTTCCATTTCTCTTATTTT